GTGATGTGTTTTCCCTATCTGCTTTATTGGCTCTCAGGCTCCAAGATGCAAAGGTGGGTTGTTCAATAAACAGCACAACAAAAGTCATCCCAATTAATTGGATTGTTCCATTTACGCCACTACTCTCTCCAATTAAGTACAAGCGAGGGCAAGTGACAGGCACGAGTGAGACGGGCGCACGGAAAACCATATTCTAATGCAAAAGCTGTGACAAGACAGTGGAATCTACACACCTGATGGGAATATTAATACAAAACCTTGACCTATAATTTTCTTTCTTCACTCTGAGAGAGCCATCAACAATTACAGCTCATTAAAACAGCCCATGTCCTGACAGTTGTGCACAATGCCCACGTCCCACAAGTCTTGTGGTCTAAACGTTTGCCATGCTGGTGTCATGAGAGAAAGACCAAGGGAAAAAAAACCACAAAAGACAAACCCAAAAGTGTCTCTAGTGCCTTGGATTGGACCTCTAGAGTTCTAGAGTTCATTTGGACCATCACCTTGTTCGAGCGGGGCCAACTTCAAAGTTAACTTCAGTATAAAAGTTAGCTCGGGTGGCTCAGTGTTGAAGATTTCCAAGGATGGAGATTTTACAGCCTCTCTGGGCAGCCTGTTCCAAAGCTGCTTTGCTGGGGCTCAGTCTGGAAGCCATTCACCACATCACAACAACATCTGGCTCTGTTTTCTCGATGCAAAGTGTGTGTTGGCATGTGGGATGCAGTAAATATCAGTAGAAAAGGTGATACCATCATGCAAAGACAATTCTTTTGCAAGGAAAAGAGATGAGAAAACCATCCCACACATGAGACAGGGTGAGAAGGAAGGCACTGCAGTATTTTATTCTGAGTTGGGTGCTACTTTTCTATAAGGCACTGCCAGAGGAGTTCTTGAAGATGGAGCGACCAACATGTTGTCCAGTTTGGGCTCAGTATTTGGCACAGAGCTGAGGTGTCAGGGCTGCGGTTGGCTGTGGTAGAGCAGCAGACACAATTGCAACTCTTTCTCCACTGAGCAGTGAGGTCTGTATCCCTCTCTGGAGGCATCTCTCCCTCCATTCACTCCCTATGGAGAGAGCCAAAGGCAACAAGCTTCCAAGCCCCGACACCTCTGCTATGTGTGAAGATGGAGAGGTTGAATGCAGGCCTAAAATATTTTACATTTTCACGGTAGTTTCACAACCCTGGCGTTATCAAATGATCTTTCAATGTACTTGGAAGCAGGAGGAGAATAACTTGAGATGGCTTCTGGCTTTTTTGTCTCTGTGTACTTGCAAACTGTCTCTGCCTACACATCTTGCAGGGCCTGTGCCTGTTTGGATATGTACACGGAAAACCGGTGCTCGTGTGGATGTTCTGGCTGCTCCGCTCCCCCCATGAAGTTTGGAGGCCGTTCAAAGCAGGTCCCCATCCCTGGGTGATCAAGATCAAACTTGCCCTATGCACTAGACTCCACTGACCAGGCTAGTTATAAACTTGAGGCTAGGAAGCACAAGACAATTTTAAAAACTGAACAAAAGTAGGAGATTAAGGAAACCAGCTGGAAACTTCTATTTTGCTGATTTTGAAAGCAAAATGTGGGTCACAGATGTGCTTCCACAGACAGAAACTGACTGAAGAAGAAAAAAAAGACATCAGCAGTGCCCAGACTCTTTGGTGATCAGAGGTAGATTTAGCTCCTAGGCATGGAGACAAAAAAGGAAGAGGAGACAAAGTAGGAATAAAAACATAATCAAGAGATTAGGAATGTGGAACTCCACCCACCCATAAATTTGCCTTAGAGAATGATGAGAAAATGCAATAATGAAAAAAGATGAAACCAACTGCTCTCTTCCCTTCTCTTGCTGTCCTTATGGTTTTAGTTTTTGCTGTCCAAGACACACGAGACCCCTTACAGAAACTCCCCGCTTCCTCACTCAGGTTTTTCTTTTACAAGCGCTGTGTTCAACTGTTCCTTTGCAGGAGCTATGAAATCCTTGCTAAGGATGGGCTGACTTTAGAGCCAAAAGAGTGGAAAGCAATGTGCTCCTGCTCATCTTTGACAGAAGAACTATTACTCACTTCTTGTTTAGGCTAATACAAAATATTAAATCTATTTTTGGTGAAATTAATGATAGACTAATAAGAGCCACGCTGTTAGCTCTCGCAGGCTGCCGATTAGCCTGTGGCTTGGTCTCCCAGGGGCTGTAACAGAAGGTTTGTTGTTGGAGCCATTTAAAAAGCTCAAGGTAAAGCACTGGAAGAGCAATGTAGGACAACGGCAGCATTGACTCGGAGCTCCAGTAGTGGTTTCTCAGAAATAACCAAGCAGTGGAGAGGGGCTTCTGAAAAGCATTCAGGGCATTCAGTGGGTGGGTTCTAGGGTGAAGGGAAGTGCTTGGACCATTCCTGTAGGTCCAACCTGTGCCGGTCAAAACAGGACCTGGTTGCTCGGTGCCTTCAGGCTTTGCAACATGTGTGGAGCAGCCGTGGATTGTGATCTCTGACTCCTGCAGCAAACTTCCCTCCTGTCAGCAAAACACCAGTCCCTATGGCTCAGCACCAAGAGAAGCCCGAAAGAAGAGCAATGCTAGTCCAGCTCACTGCCCGTCACTGTATTTCAAACTTTGGGGAAATTCAGATACAGTTCTTGTCTGGAATTTATTTTTCTCAGCCCTAATGAAAACACATTTTGTAGTTGCTAGTGTTTTAAATCCAGTATCAGTGTCAATAAAGATAAGCCTTTTCCCAGGGGAGGGAAAAATAGGGAACTGTCTCCAATCTTCCGCTCATGCAGAAGAAAACAACCCCAAAGCACCGAAGGATTAAATGAAAAATATGCCTCCCTTCACTGGGTGTGAATAAGTGCCAACCGAGCTCTCACTTGCATCACCATCTGGTGTGATGGCACCAGGGCCTGGAGGTGCAGCAGGACATGTTACAGTGCCCTGCCCTGTGACAGCATCTCTGCTCCTGGTGACGGAACCTCCAGAGGCTCCTGAATGGCAGCAGGTCTGTAAATGTGAAGGACTTTGTTATCTTCAGCTTCACCATCTGACCTAGCCCAGAGAAAACAAATGTCCAGCCACAGCACGACTCCCAGCGTGGCTCCAGAGAGAGACAGCACAGCCTTCTCCTGCCAAGGAGGAACCTACATCCTCCTCCGGATGCAAGAGATTTTGTTAAAGACAGCGAAACTCATTTTGCTGGGCTGCAACCGCACATTGAGATTGCTGTGAATACCACCGCACAGAGCTTCTTCAGCTGATGTCTGGAAACTGCTTGTGGTGTCAGAGCTCTTGCTGATGAATTGCTCAGCAGCTGGTCACATTGGGAGGGCTACGTTTATTATTTTCAACTGCTATCTTGCATGGAAGGAAAATCAAAATGCTTTCCTCAAGGTAATTGGCTCTAAAACAATTGAAGAATTTTCCACAAGGTTGTAATGCAATTAGGACTGGCATTTTCTAGCATTTATATCTCTAAAGGTATGTTTATGCCATCAAACTTTTGGGAAAAAAAATTGCTGGCAAAAGAAGGTGGATTTTGCTGTTACAGGACCTCCTGTTTTTTCCTTCTCCTTTATTTTCTTTAGAGTACTGAAATATAGATTAGTGTATGCAGTGAAATCTAGATTAAACATAGATGTCCACCCAGTAGTGACTAAAAGGCAGCATAATGTCAGGATCGTCACTGAGATGTAGTCGTTCGCAGTGAGAAATGGTTGGATAGGATGCTGGGACACCAACCACACATCTGCAGGTTTCCCATTTGGTTTTTGGTCAATGCCAAGTGATGTGTCATCACTTGCCTTCTGCTGCAGCACCACAAGAGCAGAAATAATCCTGCACTCCCTAACTGCCCCACCAGCTTGGATGTGGGAGGAACTGGTGCAGACTGGGGACGATTAGACCCACCACAAGGAACAAAACCATCAGCCACGCCGGTGCTTGGGTCTGTGTTTTGATAGACAACCAGGAAAACCCTGAGCAGAGATGCCAGACAATCCAAACACACAATAACTCCAGAAGTGCATGAGTCAGCTGGTGAACTTGTTGACACAAGATACTGTGAAAGCCAAAAGCATGGATGTCCCATTCTCCTGTCACCCTTTGGAGAAGCCTCTATGTCTCTGGCTACCAAAAGGTCTGAGGGTAGAATGGGGGAAATGATCACTCTGTGTTTGCTTGTTCCTAATGCTTATACTTAATCATATTTTACTGACTACTGCCCAAGACACCGTACAGGGCCAGGGGACAGTTTGTCTGACTGCAACAGCTGCTGCCATTGAAATTATGGGATGAAAAGCTTCAGCCGCCTTGCCTAGGTGGAGGGAAACAGATTGGATGAATTATCATTAGGAATGGGTGTGAACTGAAGCTGAGGAAGCACTCAGCGTTTCTTCAGAGCCAGAGCAGTCAGTTATGGGTGGATGTCCTGTCCTTATGATGGGATGAACCAAAACAATGGACTCAGACAATCACCATTAAAAAAAATCTGCATGTGGTCCCTAATGGTAGACATGCCACCGACTGTCCTATGAGAGTAACGCAATGCCACTGTAAGAGGAGAAATGTCCCTTACCTTGGCTGTAACCCAGCTGCCTACCAGTACAGTGTATGACTATCAGAAAAGCAAAGCCAAGAGTTGTACTGCCCTACAAAGCAGGTGTTCACACCCTTCTGTTATCTATCAGACAAATGAAGAAGCCACCAGACACGTCCATGGGTTGTTCTGCCTCTGCTCACTAGACCCATGTTTGTAGAAACCAACCTTGAGCTGTGTGGGAGGAGTTTTTGAACCTGACCTAAGAGTCATGGACCTGACCCCAAACTGGCCAGAGGGGACACGAATGTCCTGCCTGATCCTTTCTCCTTGCAGCAGCCTGTGACACAACACACATCCCAGTCTGTACGCAGACCTGTGTTCAGATCTGCTGCTATGAGGTCACTGACTTCAGTTAAAACTTTCACAAGCCCAGCTGCAGCTTCTTAACACAAAGGACTGGACAGGGATACTCACTACTGGGCCGAGTCATTAAGTTGATATTCCCGGGACCGGTTGAAGCATTCTTGGATCCCAGAGTCTGCCCAGAGTCTCATCATAGCTGACAGCAGCTCTGGAGAGAAGGGCTCTGTGTCCTCCATCCGACTTACAACATCACAGACCATCTTGGCATCAGCCTGCAGAGGAAAGAAACAAGAGGTCACATAGATGCTCAAGGCAGAAAGGGGAGCTAGAGATTTCTGAAACAGTTCACCAAACCATCAGGAGTAAAGAGGGTTTCTGGGGCTGGGGCTTTAGGATCCACACCGCATGATCCAGCAGAAAGGTCAAAAGGAGGATGGAGCAAGGAAGTCACAAGGAAAGAGGTTATTCGTGCAATCCACCTCATGTCAACAAATATTTCTATTCAGCAGACAAACCAGTTGGTACCACATTTGTGTGGAGCTTCTTGGGAACAGAAGGAAATTCATACATGTACAAGGATATTTTCAGTTGTTAGCAAAGTGACGCGTATCCTGCAGTGATACCAAGTGGAACCTCGCTGAAGTAGGGGCTGTTTGTATCAGAAAGGACAGCAGAAAACCCCCAGAAACATTTTTTTTTCAGATGCTGGTTTACTGCTTTTCCTCAATTCTGGTTCTTTGCTCTGAGCCCCTGCTACAGGGACTAATTCCTATTAACACAGGCCACCTTGGCTGGCTGCTGTGCTTTGTGACTCAGAGGGAGAGGAACCTCCCGTGGTTCAGGAGTATGGCAGCAAGGGCAGGGCCAGCTGGCCGTTTGCAGATGGAATCTTTTCTTTCTGGTGAGAAAAATATGATTTGCTGGAAAAGCAACTTTTCCTGGAGGAAAGTGTTCTGACACAACTTATGTCCGGAGGATGTCTCAGATTTAGGATGGGAATGTCTAGACAGCCTTGGAAAAGCTGAGTTCAGCCCTATTGTAATAGTCCACAGTGGCTGGTGCTTCACCCATCTGTGAAGCAGGACACCCCAATTCATGATCTCCTCTAAGTGGATCTCCCACGCACACCCCCTCCAGACTCCTGAAACCCCACGGTTGTTGGTTAATCTGCACAATTTTTCTTTCATTGCTTTGAAAATGTTGGAAAAGTCTCATATTTCTACCAGCTGAAACAAAATCAATTATTATCGCTATAATTAACTGGAAAAGAGGAACTCTTATTCCTTGTGTGCTTACAGCAAACTAGTTGTGGTGGTTTAACTCTATCCTAGCAAAACCAGGACAGTAGTGAAGATAACCTCCTCATTTTATTACCTTGTCTCTTGTCTGCTAGATCGAATCTATTCTTGGACAAACACAGGTAGAAGCCTTCACCTTCATAGAATCAATAGAATCATAGAATGGTTTGGGTTGGAAGGGACCTTAAAGATCATCCAGTTCCACCCCCCCTGCCATCAGCAGGGACACCTTCCACTAGACCAGGTTGCTCAAAGCCTCATCCAACCTGGCCTTCAACACTTCCAGGGAGGAGCAGCCACGGCTTCTCTGGCCAACCCGGGCCCGTGTCTCACCACCCTCACACCAAAGACACTCTTCCTAACTTCTCACCTAAACCTCCCCTCTTTCAGCTTAAACCCATTTCCCCTTGTTTTGTCATTAACTGCCCTTATGAAAAGTCCTTCCCCAGCTTTCTTGTAGCCCCTTCAGGTACTGGGAGGCCGCTAGAAGGTCTCCCCAGAGCCTTCTCTTCTCCAGGCTGAACAGCCCCAACTCTCTCAGCCTGTCCTCATAGGAGAGGTGCTGTTTGGTCTAAATCAGCAAACATTGACCAGAAACACGAGTTTCGCAAAGGGGAGTGTGGGCAGCACCCATGCTTTGCTGTCACTGTCCCACAGACATCACAGCGACCCATCTCATCAGCACAAAGCCACACACAGTTGGGTGTGCAGCTCCAGGGGAGCCTGTGCATCTCCTGCTGTGGGAGCTCCTGCATCCTTCCTGGCTACAACAGGCTCTGTCCTGCTCCTCTGTCCTGCTCCTCTGCCCTGCCAGGTGCTGCTGCTGACACTCAGACTGAGCAGCTACGATGGGAACAGCCCAACTGCTGAATGGGTTGCTCTCCCTGGGTAGTGTCTGAGCACTGGGGACAAGGTGTTGCAGGTTTTGTGCTAGAGCCAGCAGATTATTTCTTGGGTCATGGGTACAACTAGAAGTGGAGGAGCACCAATGTTGAAGAGCACTGCAATAACTTAATTGCATGGGTGGGAATGACAAGGTGCATGACATGGTCTGCATGGCCTGGATCAAAACTCCTCTGCAGCCTCTCTTTATTGAACACTGAAATTGTTGAAAAATCATAGGGCACCAAACTGGAGAATGAACCTGCTGGAGATTTCAACACTCAGAGAAAGAGCCTCAAGTTCCCTGAACACCCAGGGGCTGAAGAAGTCTTCGTACTGTATGGAGACACCCACCACCATAAAACTTAATGGGGTGGAGTCTCTATACTTTGAAGACTCTATGTTCTTTCTTGCAAAACACTTAACTTTGTGTTTCAGTGCCCAGGAATCCTCCCAGCCCTCTGTACAGACACTGCTCGTTTTGGAGAAATAGTATTGGTGACTCACACCTCCGAGCCAAGACAACCGAAGAACCTTGAAGAGTTCAGTTAATTTCAAAAGCTTGTTTTCTGGCCCGGAGTGCTTTGTGAGCTCAGTGAATATTCATAAATCATCAGTACCGTTTGCCTGCCCTGCTGGAGCTGGAATTCTGCTCTTTTCACAGATTCTAAATAACACAAAACCTGCTAATGGTCAGTCTGCTTGGGGCTGTGCTCTGCCACGGCCCCATTAGTTGTGCATGGGTGGTGCAGAAAAAGCATCCACGCTTTCAGTCAGGGAGGAAAGAGGGCTTTCGTATGTTATCTTGACTACTTGGGGGAGGAATTATAGGTGTAAGTCACAGATCTGTCCATCTGTCTAGAGGACAAAGCACATTTGAAGCTCTTCAGCTGTTAGGAGCAGGGTCTGGGCTTCTTCTGAGCTTTGGAGATTTAACTGCAGGTTGATTTCTGCAAAGCATCGGAGGGAACGGCACGGTCGTCACATTTTCTGTGCTGGGAAACAGCTGCCTCTCCTTTTCCACTTGTGGCAGTCCCCTGTGATTTAAGACCCAACACAAGAGGGTTTGAGCAGAAGACACAGATGAACAGCCATGACAGGGCAGAACAGGAGTGACCAGGGACAGGCATCTCTGGCTGTGGTTATCTGTGGTTACCAGGTTTGTTTGGGCCAGAAGCAGGGCTGAGCTCGTAGGGTAGGGGATTATTTTGGTCCATGCTCCTCTGCAGTCACCAGAGGTCCCTTCTGGGGATGGGAGAGGCAGTTGCCTGCAGGGCAGCTTGAGAGTTGACAGGCTGGAGCAGGGGAAAGGCTCATAGGAGAGTTTATTGCTCCCGGTGATTGGTAATAAAAATATTCCAGACTGAAGTTTTATTTTGCAGAGTGAACCATTGAACTCTCAATTTTATAGACCCAGAAAAAGCAGGTGAATCGAGTAGTTTTAAAAATACTCCTCCCCCTGCCAAGGATGAAGCCCCTCTGCCAAGGAGCATGGGGCCATCCAGGAGTTCAGGCATTAGATGATTTAACGAGCAATTAAGGATCCAAGAAGAGAAGATACCCCTTTCTTTTCTCACTCTCCAGGCTGCATCTCAAGCTGGGAATGACATTAAAATCTCCAGCCCCCCCTGGGCCCAGCAGGTAGATTTTTAAATACTGCCTGATTGACTTTTCCCTTCCCACCTCCCCCGGGTCTGGCGCTCCCGCTTTTCCCGAGGTGAGAGGAGCTGAGCCTCCTGCCACGCTCTGCCTCTCTACTCAAGCCAGCAATTAAATAAAGAAAAAAACAAAACAGACCAACAAGCCCCCCCCTCCCCACCTCACAGTTCCCATCTGACGGGCTTTTCGTTAATGAATATCACAGGGGTATCTCAGCTACCTCAGGAGCTAAAAATAGGCAGCGCTCTGTCCTTGGGATTGCGGGAAGGAGCCACAAAATGGTGCAGAACTGCTTCCTCCATTGCTGCCTCTCCTCTTCCCCAGCTGCTCTGTCTCCCATCCCTCAGTACAAGCTGGCTGGGAGCTGGGCACTGGGCTGGGCTGGTCTCCTTCTTATCCGGTAGGACCATCCCAGCCCATCCCCGCAACTTTCCCATGTGTCCTGCTGCCACTTCCCACCTGGCATTCTCCATAGCAGGTCAAAGCCTAACCCGTGAGCTGATTGCCTTTGGGTTGTTTCTCACCAAGAGTGGGATTTGTTCAGCTCTGTGTCACTTTGAATGCTCAATGTGTCCCACTGACAGTGGAAGAACTGGAGATGACTGGGCTGGGCTTGGGGAAACAGCTGAGCTCAGAAAACCTGGGATGGTAAATTATACATCTGAGCTTTGGTCATCAAACTAAAGACCAGCAACCCCTTTGTTAAAGAACAAACCTCCACACCAGTCGGGGAATGGAGTCAGGGCAGGGTGGGGTTTTATAGGACAGGGTGGGGTTTTGAGGTGCTGGAGCGTGTCCAGAGAAGGGCAACGGAGCTGGGGAAGGGTCTGGAGCACGAGTGTGCTGAGTTCCTGGCTGAGGGAAGTGGGGTTGTTGAGCCTGGAGAAAAGGAGGCTGAGGGGAGCTTCCTGTCCAGCTTCCTGAAAGGAGGGTGGAGAGAAGTGGGGGTGGGTCTGTTCAACCAAGGAACAAGTGACAGGACAAGAGGAAATGGCCTCAGGTTGTGCCAGGGCAGGTTTAGATTGGATCTGAGGAAAAACTTAATGAAAAGGGCAGTCAAGCATTGGAACAGGCTCCCCAGGGCAGTGGTGGAGTCCCCTTCCCTGGTGGGATTTATCAGACGGGTAGATGAGGTGCTGAGGGACATGGTTTAGAGATGGAATTGGCAGTGGTGGGTTTATGGTTGGACTTGATGATCTTAAAGGTCTTTTCCAACCACTACGCTTCTGTGACTCTGTTTTACAGGACAGGGTGGGGTTTCACAGGACAGTGCAATCCATAGGCAGATGCAAAGAAGCAGCTTGTAAACCGGGCGGGAAGTCAGCGTGTCTCAAGTCTAACCCCTGGGTTGTGTGTCTACCTCTGCACCGGACACATGGTATAAATCCAGTCATAAGGGGATCTGTTTTCTCACTAACCTGGACTTGACAGCAGTTATTTAATTGTCTCCCATATGTCACTGTCACCAGGCACACAGGCTGCGCTCAACAAGCACACTTGTGACTGTGCTTGCAACAGCCACGGAGCCGAATGAATTTGTTACCTTGCTGGAAAGGAAAGGGGCTCTTCCTACAGTCTTGTTTGTCTCTGCAAGCTCGTAATTTTCATCATGCAGATATAGATCACCCTTAATTATTTGTTTCTCACCAGCAGCCAGGATTGGTGCTTGCAAAAGTACCGGCAGAACCGCTCCTGCCCTGCCTGTTGTGGGGTTGCACTGGAGTTGAACTCAGGTCCCCATCTCTCTGACCATCTCACCATCCCAGCGTAAATTCTGGCTCTGATCCTTTGAAGATGCCTAGACATTAATTAAGGGACTTCTAAATTTTTTTTTTTTTTTTTTTCCCATAAAGGAATAGCTTTCTGGAAGAGAAGAATTTAAGGGAAAGGCAAAGCCTGGTGTGAAGCTATGTGGTACAAATCTGATAACCCCTCCAGAGCTGCACTGACTGACACTGGCATGAGAGCTGACCCAGTGTGTCATACTGTACCGTGCCTTCCCTTGGGTGAATGAAATCCCAGTAAATATCATTTTTGCTGTCATTTATTCTGATTAATCATACTCATCACTCAGCCTATCTCAAAGGTTAACAGTGGGACAGTTTCCTTTGGTGGCTGGTTGTACCCAAAGCTGCATCTCAGAATATTTCAGAAAATCCGTGTGGTGGGGGGAAAGGACAAGCGTTGCAATTTGCTGGTGGTGCAAGACAAATCAGAGGCACAGTACTAGTTATCAGCGAGTAATCTTGTTTAACCTGGTGCACAGCTGAAAAGAGTAGTGCCCATCATCAGCCAGGAACCTGGGAGGAAAAAGATGTCTTGAAAGCATCCAGCATCCACAAAGGATGTCCCTGGAGGGGAACCTTCCTGGGGGACCCCGATCCTGACCTTGGGGCAGAGCAGTGTGTGCCTCTGCTACTTCAGTGAGAAACAAGGTCCCAAAACTTGGGGGCAGAGCATGGCTCAGGAACTGAAAACCTCCTCCTCCTCACAGAGCATTTCAGAAATCTGGACCCTGCTTCATAGCTGAAGTGTGGCTGCGTTACAGCAAAAGACGGTTATTTTCACGGCATTTGCAGCCTGAATGAATTCTGGAAACAAAGCAGAGCTGGTGAATACGCCTCTTCCAGAGGCCCAGCTCCAAGTCCACAGGAGATTTCGGAGACACTGAATAAATAACTGCATGTATGACTCTCCCCCTCACTCACCCTCTCTTTCTCACACATCTGTGTTTCAGAGCTGACCTCTGAATCTGTGCAAATGTCTGGCATGAAGCAGCTGCTGTGCATCGCAGCGGAGACAACCTTCTCCCTTCCTCCTCTGCTCTTCCCTCCTCCTTCAGAACATTTCAGCGAGGCCTCCCACCTCTGCTTGGCATTTGGCTTGCTGGGCATGCAAACTGAGAGACCCTGGAAGGCGCTGAGCTAGTGAAGAACGATCCAGTGACTTATTCAAACCTATCCCTTTAGAGAACACCATGAGGTGGGTACCCAAACTACATCCCCTCTGTCTGCACTCACTCTGGAAAGCTCCTGACCCAGACCCCAGTGATCTGGGAAGAAGGGGAGAGCATCATTTGATCTGATGCAAAGCTCAGCGTAGTGATCTCTGGCAATCTGCATCACACAGCCTAACAAATTAAGTTAGAGATGGTTGGCTTTCCACAGTGTCACACTAGTCATCTTCTCCCTTGCTCATTCAAAACAGCTCACAAAAAGGTTGGTTGACTTGGGGACAAGGCCAAAGGGCTGCTGGCTGCCTGTGGGCAGAGAATATTGCACAGAAAACATAACCAGATAGCCAGGGTGACGTGTAGATCTCCTCCCCAGGTTGTGCTGTCTGGCTAGCAATTAGTAAAGCCCTGGTTTTCATACCCTTCTGCAGCCAAGATGGTCCCATCACCTCTGACCGCCTTGGCCAAACAACTTCTGTGTGTCTGGTCCTTGGTCGAGGATCTCTGTCCTGAAACCTTGTTACCGCCATGTTTCCTGTCTGCTGCTTCCCATCTGGGGAGACGTTGAGCAGGACTGGTATGAGAGATTATAATGGCTCTAAAGCAGGACAACTGCTTTGTGTTTGGTTCTCCTTTTATTCCTACTCATTCTGGATGATTCTGCAGCTGAGCAAATAAGATTTGCTAGATCTTAACGTGGGTATAAACTTCTTCTCCCCTCTTGCAACACACGTACCATAATATTCCCTGTTTGCTTGGACGGGGGAAGGATCTGGAGCACAAATGTGATGAGTTCCCTGCTGAGGGAAGTGGGGTTGTTGAGCCTGGAGAAAAGGAGGCTGAGGGGAGACCTTCTGGCTCTGTCCAAGTCCCTGAAAGGAGGGTGGAGCGAGGTGGGGGTGGGTCTGTTCAACCAAGGAACAAGTGACAGGGCAAGAGGAAACGGCCTCAAGTTGCACCAAGGGCAGTTGGGATTGGATGTGAGGAAGAATTTCTTTGCTGAAAGGGTTCTCAGGCATTGGAAGGGGTTGCCCAGGTGGAGTCCCCATCCCTGGAGGGATTGAAGAGTCATGTAGACATAGTGCTGAGGGACATGAGTTAGTTGGGGACTTGTCAGTGTTAGGTTCATGGTTGGACTCAATGATCTTCAAGGGTTTTTCCAATCCAGGCAATTCTGGGATCTTGTGACTACTGACTATCTGGCAATCCAGTGACTGGTAACCCATGGACTAGATTAAGTCCACCTTGGGCTGCCAGTTGGCCATCACCATTGCAAGAGTTCCTACAAGACATAGGAATCTACACTCACCAGAGATGTGGAAAAAACCCACCACCCAACAACACAGAACTCACCCTGCAAGAGGGATGCCACTGAAGGGCGAGTCATTTCCCAAATGTTCTTTCTTCTAGGAAATTGTAGGGTCCTCCCCTGCTCTTGGGGAGCTCAGAAGAGCTCCTGAGCTGGGTCAAGACAAACATGATAGATAGCTGACCTGATTTTTCCAAGCAAGGATGGGAAAGCCAGAAAGCATGTCTCAAAAAATGGTCTCAAAATAGATCCTGACCCACTAGCTGCTATGGAAGGTGAGAAACTGGCACTCTGTGTGTTCTAATTCAAGAAGGCGGCATCCCTGAGAGACCAAGAGCAGACTCCACCCGTGTCCCTCTGAGGTCAGGATGCCACTGTGGGTCCTCAGTCCTACAAGCACCAAGCAGAGGGGCTGGGGATAGGACCTGCATGCCCAAACCTCATCCCTGGCTGATGACTTTCAGGCCACGAGGCACAGACAGCACTGCCCACCAGGGAGGGGACAGGGAGAGCGCAGATGGGGACATTAGCCGCATGGCTTCATGCTCTGCAGGGAAGTGCTCTGCCGTGCTGCTGAGGAGGAGGAGGCTGCAAACACATAGAGACGAGAGTACAAAATCCTTGCAGCCTCCTGCCCTTCTCCTCCACTGTGAAATCCTCTCTGCTGGGGAAAAGCTCATAAAACCCAATGGCACTGGAGGGTTTGTGTCACGGGAAACGGCGGGGAAATGCCTGATGTCCCACAGTGAGGGGACAGGAGGGGAAACAGCATCAGCTCCAGGCTTTGGTAAAATAAATGATCATTTGACACTCATTGCAAAGTGGATGGTTGTGGGAGTGATGGTGATTCTCCAGGAACCCGCTCCGGGTTTGGGAATTCCCGATGCCTTCAGCCAGCACATCCCTCACTCTTCAAATATCTTTAAGATTTTCCACAGCAACATCCCTCTGGGTGACTGCATACGGGTGGCAGGGCAGAGGGGACACAGGTTTGTTCCAAGCTTTCCCACCACAACAGAGGAAATGGGCTTAGTCTTTGAAAGAGAAAGGGAAACCAGCCCCTGTGGTGGGATATTCCCAGGACAACGCCGGATTTTTTTCAGCATCTCTGGCTAAATGCCGCTCGTGTTTGATGATTTAGAGGGCAGCGCCTTCCTGCTGGGAAGCCGTGCAGTGCTGGAACCTGGTAATGAGTTTAATGCTTGGAGCTTGATGCTGAATGGTGGGTGCTAATCTCCACTCTACAATTAATCTAGCAGATTTATCAGTGCCTTGCACGATGGAGGGGTTACAGGCATCTGTCCCTGATGCCCCCTCCCTGGAAGTGTTGAAGGCCAGGCTGGATGAGGCTTCGAGCAACCTGGTCTAGTGGAAGGTGTCCCTGCTGATGGCAGGGGGGTTGGAACTGGATGAGCTTTAAGGGCCCTTCCAACCCAAACCATTCAGTGATTCTATCAGGAGGAGCTTTGATTCATTTTTTTAATGCCCCTATTTTACTGTTGTGGAAGACACATACTTAAAGGACAAGGTAGAGAGGGAAAATCCACCCAACCCACCCCAATTATGTGAAATTTCAGTTCTCTGTTGCCTCTTCTTCTCTGTAACCCATAACTGGGATATCTGGGTCAGGATTTCTTACTGCTCTCCACCGAAACACCTCCAGTAGTCAGTGGGTTTGGTGTCCACACCCCAGCATTCTGCCTGGCAGAGTGTCTCAGAATTATTTCTTGCACTGCTGGTGTGAGAGCAGGGATCACAGCAGCCAAGTAACTGGATTTTCCACTTGATGGCAGAACCGAAAAAAAAATTAGGTGGTGTGAAAAATCAGTTCGGATCAAACATGTTCTCCTGCATTCTTCTGTGGGCCCAAAATCCTCTGCAAAATTTAATTTCACATCCAGCCAAAGCACTTGCCTTGAGCCCCACCAAAATATTTTGGTTTGTTTTGAATTACTTTGGGGCTATTATTATTTTGGTTTTTATTAATTTTTATAATAGTATATTAATCTTTATCATAGTATTATTATTTTAAATGGGGACCAATCTGCAAACAAATGAAAAGTTGGAAAAATGAATGAAAACAAAACATGTTGGCCTTTCAGGAATGGAAAATTCTTTTGAAAAATTCTCCAAGTTTTCACAGAATTTCCTCTTGGCCATGACTACCTGTAGATTCTAACCAGATTTTACAAATGTTTTTGGTTTCTTTGAAACTCTTTCTTAGCAAATTCATCAAACATTTCTGTCCAGGTCTAGTAAAAAGTACAAGAACTTTCTTATCAGGAGTCCTTCATTCCCTGCTTATTTGTTGTTTTAATTTGGATTCTCACCACCTCAAATTTTCTGGTTTTCAATCCTGTGCTCTTTCACCAAATGTCTTACGAGATGACCACTGCTGAGTGCAGGGGAGAGGTTTTCCTTCCCTTTGACTTGAACTTTACAGGTGCAAAACCAGGTACGTAAAGTCTGACACCTCCACAACCAGGATTCAGGTACTCAGGTGTGGTGGTTTTAGCCTGGCCAGCAGCCAAACACCACACAGCCGCTCGCTCACCCTCCCACAATGGGACAGGGGAGAGAATCAGGAGGGAAAAAGTGAGAAAATGCCTGGGTTGAGATAAAAACAATTTAATAATTGAAATAAAATAATAATTAAAATAATAATAACAGTAATAATGGAATATACAAATGAGTGATACCCAGTGCAATTGCTCACCACCGGCCAACTGAGGCCCAGCCTGTGCCAACCAGTGATCCCAGAGCAGAGACAGTCCCCAAACCAAAACCATAATTCTGGAAGAGTGAGCCCAAGCAATTCCCAAAAGAATCCCCAGCTTTCATGAATATACTGAATATGAGGTGATATGAGATGGAATATCTCATTGGCAGAACCAAATGCCAATTTTGGGCTTTGCCAGTTCCTACGTTTCCCCTTGCCAGTCCTTTGCACTTGCAGACCAGCAAAACATGACGACCTTCGACTTCTGTCAACAATTAAAAACATCAGTATATGATCAACATGCTTCTGATAACAAATCCCACACTGAAACCAAAACACAGTGTTGTTCTAGCTAGAAGAAAATGAACTCCATCCTAGGGAAATCAGGACATCAGGGCAGGAGGACATGCTGGCACTGTGGTTTAAGAGCTGTCCTGGCTGTTGGCTAAGTATTAACTAACAAGGCATCGTGTCAGGCAGCAAGGGCACTTTGGGCACTGAGTTTCTGCTGCAAACTTGCTTAGTTTCCCTTATTTGTTTAAAGAAGAAGTACTGTGGGAAGAATGATCTCAGAAAAACCGTCAGTTTTCCCTATTGCACATCACTTTTTTCTGGAGAACCTCTACAGAAGAGATGATGGAGGTGTGGAAATGGAGGTGTGCAAACCTGCGGTTGTTTTAATGCCACCACCATTATTGCTGGTGGCAGCTCCCGATGCAGATACCCGAGAAAGCTGCCCCAGTAATGCACCCGCTCAGGGCCTTCGCCTCCCCTTGTCTGATAACTTTTTGGTCTCTGGCTGCACACA